GCGCAGGATCAGGAAGGCCACGGTGCCCGCGCCCACCCAGTACAGGAAGCCGGCGGCGGGGACGGCGCTCTCCATGGCTTTCGACTAGGCCGCACTCCCTCCGAGAACGAAAAAAACGAATGAATGAATCCAGGAGGCGGCGCCTGCCGTGACGCGAGGACGACACTGATAGGCGCGGCTCCTGCGCCATCTGGGGCCTAAGCCCCGCCCTCAGCGCCATACCTGGCCACCATTGGTGGTCTGGCCTTCCCTCTGGGCGCCGTGCGACAGCCATTGGCTGACTCCGTTTCCCGGCCCCGCCCACGCGCCCCCTCCGCGCTTTTCGCGTCGAGTTTCCGTTCTAAGGCGGGTGGTTAGCCGGCCTGCCAATCAAGCTTCAGTCCCACCCGCCCGACGCGTCACCACGCACCCAGGAGTCCGCCAGCTCTCGGCCCGTCTCACCCCACCGGGGCGCCCCGGCCTCTCATTGGCTGCGGCCGTCCTCGCGCCGGAGGAAGGCTGCGCTCCGATTGGCCATCCCGACTCAGCTGGTTTAGCGAGGGAATGGGGTCAGAGGAGCCGCCGCTGAATGGGAAGATGGTAGTAAGAGGGGGGCGTGGAGACACGGTTTTGTTCTCGCCGCGGTTCGCACCGACAGATCGTTGTTGTGTGCTGTTCACACCGACAGATCGTTGTAGTGTGCTGTCGTTGTTCCCATAAGCTCCCGATGAAGGCCGCAGGCTTCTGTTTCCGGACTTTGCCCACCGCACGTGTTCGCTTGGCTACCACTCACCGCGGGAGGGCCCTCTGAATGCCAGGCCTCCCGAGCGTTTGGCCTGATGGCGTCCAGTAAGGGTAACACGCCCGGCATGAGAGCTGCGGGACGAACGGCACACAGCTAGCTGGACAATTCGTTTTAGACAGGGAGTCTATATTTGCTACCTGGTCCTTAAAGGAGTGAGAGAACCTTGCCTTCTTTTTAAAAAGATTACCACTGGGGGGGGGGAGGGGAGGAAGTGGGGTTTGAAGTGTGCAGACCGTGGAGAAGCATGAGAACTGCATCAGCAAACTCGAACAGAGGACGATGACCATAAGGCAAGTTTTAAAAATTGTGTAAGGCAATAGAGTGCTTCACACTTGTTTTCTCACCCTCCCTCCAAGAGCTTTTGTTTCCTATTCTGGCACAGATTTGGGCTCATTTAGGCACCTAACTTTTACTCTTAGCTAGTAAGGATGCTGATTCAAGATTGGAACTTTTTGTAAAACGGGAACTTAAGGGTGGTAATTCTAAGGGTAACAGTTCAACAAATCTTGAAGCTAGCTTCATAGTTTTATAATATTTACTTTGAGTCTTATTTCTGGTTGTCCAATTCCCCCTTCTTCTCCATTCTCTTATCAGGTTAATTAGGTCTAACCCTAAGGCTGTAAATGTTCTTCACAAACTATCAGTTGTTCAGCAGAATTCATCCATATGAGGTGAGCTGCACCATATTTTGTATTAATTGAATTTGGTACCTTTGGATGGGGCTGCCACTCCAGTTCAACCAAAGTTCCACCACTCCTGTCTCTCAGCTTCTCCCTCTTCCCAAAATATTTGCTTATGTTATAGCCCCAGATTTGTATATCCCGGCTCATCATTGCTCACCAACAAAGTGCTCTGCAGATATTCAGTCCCATTCTCCTCAGAGTGGAGAGGAAGGAGGGAAAGAGAGTTATAATAAACTAACGATACTTACTTTTGTTGCTTATGTACGTATGTCTGTTGCTCCCACTAGAATCTATGATAATTGGGGACACTATGCTGTGAATCCATAGTACCTAAAACAATGGCTGGAACCTAGAGGAACTCCATAAATGTCTGACAAATAGCTAAAAGTGAAGATTCATTCGTTTGACAAATATTATGGTGCTTTACTTATATGCCAGTCGCTGAGCTAGGTACTGGGTATACTATTGTGTGCAAATGGTCAGTTCTTCATTCTTATCCAACCCGCCATTCAACGGTGGGTGCCACTGTTTTCCTCACCAGTTGCTCCTTCTCAGAGTCCTTGCTGCCTCCACCCTCCAATTACGCGATGCCCCTGGGCTCAAACCCCAGCTGTCTTTAATTCTCTGCATGATTTCATTCAGTCCTTTGGTTTTAAGCATCAGCTGTAAGCTGATGACTTCCAAAATTTCTGTCCAGGCTCAACTTCTGCTTAGAGGTCCATTCTCCTAGGTACCTATATGTGTGCCAGAAATCTGTGTGCCAGAAATGTGGCCCAAATCTGTGCCAGAAAAGAAGACAAACCTCCTGGAGGGAGGGTGAGAAAACAAGTGTGAAGCACATTCTCCTATGCGGTATATATATCCACCTGCCTATTCACATCTCCATTCAGGTATAAACTAAACATCTCAAACTTCACACGTTCAAAATGGAACTAATTCCAAAGCACATACACACACAACCACCACCACCACCACCAGCTACCCCCTTTCTAAGGCCTAAACCCTAGGAATCAACCTTGATTCTTTCCTTTCCATTCCATATCCAATCCATCAGCAAGTCTTGTTCACTGTATTTCATATATATACATAGACATATACATATATATGATGCAGATTTTTCAGATCAGACTGGCTTCGAGAGTGTCACCTCAATTGGTCAGTCAGCCAAGCCCTAGAGAGGGTAGGCCGAAGGGGCTGGTAAGTCTAGCCCCGGAAGTGTCAGCTCTAATGGGCTGGCAAACCAAACCCTGGGAGTGTTGCCGCTTCGGTGGGTCGGCAAGCCTAGCCGGAGTGTCACAACTTTGGAATCTCACCTTCTCCTGGCAGCTCTCCTGGTTTCAGTCGGCTCCATGGGCTGGAAAGCCAGCCTCTGGGGTGTATGACTCTGAGGCTGCAACGATCTTCTGCAGCTATTCGGGTCACAGCTCTTCAGGGTCGAGGTTCTTGACGCATGCCCAGGAAGAATGAGGGACACAGGCAGCCGGAAAGTGAGAAGTAGGTTTTATGGAAAGGACAGAAAAGCTCTCACAACGGGGGGCACTCAAAGGGGTTGCCAGCTTCTGGAGTCAAAATCGGGTACTTATATAGCCCTAAGTCCAAGCCGATTGACTAGCACTAGCTGTGAGCTGATGGGTCCACACTTAGCTGTTCTGATGGTCATACTAAGGACCAATCAGCAGGAGGTAGGGGCCTAATGGTGAGCTGATGGGTTGCTTTTCGATTTCAGCAGTGAGTACTTAATCTCTAGCTTGAGGCCCGCAGTGAGTTTGTTTACTGAGCCTGAGAGGCCTGCGAGGAGTTCACTGCATTGTTACCAGAGGACCTGCCTGTCTGTTTGCCTAGCCTTTCTCTGATTATTTAAATCAGGGTCTCACCCTATCACCCAGGCTGGAGTGCAGTGGCACCATCATGACTCACCATAGCCTCAAGTCTCCTAGGCTCAAGCCGTCTTCCCACCTCAGGCTCCCAAGTAGCTGAGACCACAGACACACACCACCACATCCAGCTAATTTAAAAAATTTGTTTTTGTAGAGATAAAGTCTCATTATGTTGCCCAGGCTGGTTTCAGACTCCTGGGCTCAAGCAATCCTCCCGCCTCAGCCTCTCTAAGTGCTAGGATTATAGATATGCACCATCCCACCTGGCCCCTGAATATATCTTGACTGACCACTTCTTCCCATCTCTGCCACTACCAACCTAATCTAAATCACAAGCATCTCTAACCTGGAATACAGCAGTGGCCGCCTAACTGGTCTCCCTGAAGCCTGTGTTGGGATTTGTTTACCACACAGCAACAGGAGTGTTTATTTTTTAAAGTGAATTAGATATTGTTTCTTCTACTCAAATCCCTTTATGTCACAAAAAGAACAAAATCCTTCAAGACTGGTCTGTCATCTGTAGTTCCAGCTACTTGGAAGGCTGAGGCGGAAGGATCACTTAAGTCCAGTAGGTGGAGGCTATGGTGGTCAGCGTGCCACTACACTCCAGCCTGGGCAACAAGAGTGAGACTCCAACTCAAAAAAAAAAGAATACATACACATGACTCTTGCAACCATCATAGTATCTGGCATAAAATTAAACAGGCAATAAAAAATAATTGTGGATTTTTTAAATAAATAAAGACAGGAACAATGGGAATGAAATTTCCACTGCTGTTAAAATTTGTTTTGAGTATATTATTCTAACTAAAAACATGGAAATCATCTCATTTTGGTATTTATTTTCTTTAAAGCCTAAGCACTACCCATGCAATTAACAGAAATAATCTTTATTAAAATGTACATATTTGCCGGGTTCGGTGGCTCAGCCTGTCATCCCGCGCCTTTGGGAGGCTGAGGTGAGTGAGTTGCCTGAGCCCGTGGGTTCGAGACCCGCCTGGGCAGCGAGACCTCATCTCTACAATAAATCAAAAAATCAGCCGGGAGTGGTAGCGCGTGCCTGTAATTCCGGCTACTTGGAAGGCCGAGGCGGAAGGATCGCCGGAGCCCCAGCTGGACGAGGCTGCAGTGACCGGGAGCACGCCACTGCACTCCAGTCTGGGCGACAGAGTGAGACTCCAACTCAAAAAAAAAAGTACATATTTATTCTGATCACCTCAGCCTCTTTTTAGGAATATGAATTGTTTTATCTGCTAAAAAGAAAAAATAGTGACTTCTACAAAGTAAAGTGGTATGTGCCAGATAAGCCCTTTGGGGTTCGGGTGGTTACACACTTTTGGAATTGAACAGCAATCCTTAGTCTCTGAATAAATTTTATGAAAATTCGAATGCATACAGGACCGTATAATGGTGGCTCACTCCTATTTATCAGTATTCTGTGATAAAATTTAACATATAAACAGAATGACAGAGCCATACTAGCCGAACATGTGAAACCATTAATAGTTCTCCAAGGAGGAAGCAATCCTATACAACCCTGGTGTTTGGTGTGTCTGGGACCAATCTGGGACCAGATTCTGATTCCACTCCTTATTAACTGTATGATCTTGTACAGATTTAACTCCTAAGCAATCACATTCTATATCTGTAAGACGCAAACAATACTACTTTAACACTTAGCAGTGATTGGCAGATATTAAGTGTTCAGTGAGGTAGGTTTCACACTTATTCCTCCCTTACAGATGAGGAAGCAGAGGCTTAAAGCAAGTATTAGCTTTAAGTGGCAGAATTGGGATTTGAACTAAAACGTGTGGCTATGAAATCATATCTTCAGAATTAGCTCAGAGAAGGCAGCATAAAAAAATGGCTAAGGGGCCGAGATTTCACCCTTTCACCCACTTCTGTCCACACCCCACTGGCAGAATCAACTTTGAGAAACTGTACAGTTTTTCTCACTGTTGGAGAAGGCTTATTTGTTGGGTTTTCGCTTGTTGAATGGTCTGGGCTTATGGGGGGTGGTGGGGAGAAAGAAAGGGACAAAATGGCTAAGGGAAGCTGACCACAGTGGCTTATGCCCATAATTCCAGCACTTTAGGAGACTGAGGTGGGAGCCTCGCATGAGGCCAGGGACTTGAGACCAGCTTGGGCAACATAGGAGACCTCTGTCTCTACAAAAAAAAAAAGTCCAAAGGAGAGTAGAAGAGTCTCTAATCATTTTGTTGCTACATAAATAATAAACATACTCAGATACAACCACATTGGATTTCAGTCTCATTTATTAAAAGATTTAGAATTCATATTAGTCTTTAATATGGAAAAAGTCTAAAGCAACAATATTATATCCTATTAGTATACAAATATTCCCATTTAACTTGATATTCATTTTAAATATTTCTGTAAATTGAATTTCAGATTTGGCTTTTGTGATGAAATCAGAAGTAGTTCAATATAATGAAAGAACATTTCATAATTATGGAAGTTCACAGAAGATAGGAATTATGACGCATACAATCTTGGTTAATCATTTGGAATACAGAGTTGCAGCCTTCGTTTGGCTGTGTAATAAAACTTTTTAACAGTTTTGTCTTCTCCTTCATCTTCGTTTAAACACGGTTCAAAACACTGAGTTTTAACTTGCCTTTAAATTCAACTGTCCAATCCTGGGTTAAAAAAGAAAAAAAAGAAAAACGTGCTGTGGTGAGCAAACCAATGTAAAAGAAACTAAATCTTTCCCATTAGAAACTAGGAGGTTTCAAACAGTTAATATTTAATTTTTTTCAACAAACAATATCACCATAAGAAAGGAATTTTAACATTTGAAAATCGACTTTTCATCTTCAAAGTGATTTCACATGCATTACACCCTTCAAACACCACAATAGTACCCCCATTTTTCCAAAAAGGAAACAGACTCTTCAAATTAAACTTGCATAAGCACCACTTTAGTACAGTAGGCCTATTTCTAGAGCCAAGGTGTCTGCACTAAAAATCCAAGGCTCTTTCTACTCTATTACCTGTTTTATAACAGAACTTGGGCTCACATTTCATGGAGTCTTCTGTAAATATATTTCTCAAATAAAACTGAAATTAGTCATTTTGAAACAAGTGATTAAAAATATAGTTCTAATGTTTTACTTATGTTTTCATTTCAAATGCTCACAGAATTATATAAAATGAAAAAGTATCTTAACTTCATTTCCTATTTCCACTAATCACGACTGGCAACTTATTGTGTCTTCTTCCATTTCTTTCTTCTATGTAAGTATAAAACTATATGATATAGCCAACATACATACACACACTTTCTAAACTGTCATCATACAGAAATAGTCCAACCACTTTCTTTCTCTATTTGATAATATACCATAAAAAATACCAGAGTGCAATCTTAGTATATTGATATTGCACATTAACTGGTTTTCTTTATCGCGTCAGCAGATCTAAGAATCCTTCCAACATTCTTACCCAGCATACCTTAACTTAAAAAAGAAATGAGTGCCATAGTGAACAAACCAGTTTAAAATTAGGTGAAAGGGAAGTAAACCATGATGTTTCGTCAACATTGTATTTCTAGCCAAAAATAACAAACATTAGTCATCAGGACAGTTATACAAGCAAACTTAAGGTAAATGATGTTGTGAGCCTAACCTAATCGCAGGGGTCCTTAAAACCGAAAGACCTCTCCCAGCCTTAGCTACAACTGTGGAAGAATGACCAGAGAGATGGGGCTCTCTGCTGGCCTTGAAGATGGAAGAGGGGGTCCAAGAACCAAGGAAGGCGGGGGCAGGCTCTAGAAACTGGAAAAGGCAAGGAGATGAACTTTCCCTAAAATCCCCAGATTTTAAAATGCTGTTATTTTAGCCCAGTGAGACCCATGTTGGAATACTAACCTAGGGAACTATACGATGAGTGCTGTTTTAAGACACTAATTTGTAACAGCAACAATTGCAAACGAATACCATGTGTGTTCCTTCGGGAGGCGTGTCATGCTGCTCACTCCATTCAGGCCACAAGGGTCTTCTCCACAGTCCTCAAAAGCACCAGCGTCCATCCTACTCCAGGGTTTTGCCCATACCAGTCCCAACCACATTTTAAGCTCTACTAAGTCCTGTATGTGTTTTCACATCGTATCCCTCAGTAAGTACAGCTGGGGCAGCCCTACTTCAAATATCTGAAAGCTGAAATGCTCCAAAATTCAAAACTTTTTGAGCAACAACATGATGCCACGAACGGAAAGATCCACCAAAAAAGTGCTTTCACACAAACTTTGTTTCACGCACATAACTATTTTTAAATATTGTATAAAACTCCTTCAGGCTATTGTAGAAGGTGTAAATAAAGCATAAATGACTTTTGCGCTTAGACTCAATCTCCTCTTCAATATCGTTCATTATGTATAGGAAAATGCTCCCAAATCCAAAAGCACTTCTGGTCCCAACATTTTGGATGAAAACGAATACTCAATCTGTATTCATCAAATGAATGAATGGATTATTATTGTAGAAAAGGAAGGGCAAAAGTAGTTACAAGGACCAACAACTTCTAGTTGAAAAATAAAACCAGTCACAATTGTAAAATCATAAAGCAAATGTTAGCTCTTCTTTTTTCCTAATGTATATTTGGATTGTTCCTGTATAGAAACAAAACTGAAATGGTATAAATGGTATAAAAATGGAAAGAAGCCGTGACTTTTTTGGTGACTTTTTCTCTCACCAAGCCCAAATCACTTTGTTTACTATCTGCAGGGAATAAAGAGCACACTGTTAAAAACAGTAAGAAATAAAAGCATAATTGGTTACTTTTCCTCATGCCATTTGGGTTGTCTGGCAGATCCACCTGTCACCTCTTACTCAAGAGTGATCAGATCTCACATTACCCAGTTTACATGGAACATTTAAACAATGGAAAACCACAATTGTCTCTGTGAGATAGAAATAGTGAGCCACATTCACATTATCTCTACAGGGTATCACATACTTTTCTGTCTCAGAATTGTCTTATTTTGCGTCTTGAGAATTTTAAGAAACCTCCTCAAACCTCCTTTGAAACTCAGTAAAGCAGGAAATAAATATCCCCCTCTTTCCCAGCGCCCAGGTATTGAGGGACTAGCATGCTACAGAGTCCGGGCAGGAAGGAAGCTTGACATGACCGGGTGGAAGGGAGAGGAGGGTGGGAGAGGGAAGAATGGGAAGTGAGGGCGGAGAAGTGCCTCCACCTGCCGTCGGCCACATACAATCCCCAAGTCTCCTTGGCAGACAACACTGGGCCTGTTTCTCACTCCCGGGTTGACAAGGGTTTGCTCAAGGCAGGCTGGCATCAGCTGGACTTTTCTCCAGGCTGTGAGCTGCGACTGTTCGCTCAGTTTCTTCCTTCTTCACCCAGGCCAGAAAATAACTCTAGACAACTCCTCATCGAGTATACTCGTGTATATATTTACACACATGCAAAGTATATTGGCAACAGCATTTTCTTTTTCAGTAGTACAAGGAAAAGAACAAGCCCTCAGTTGTGTGACCTTGGATATCTGTTTATTTAGTTAGTTCACATGTAAAATGGGGCTCCAAATAAGGCCTGCCTTTCAGGGATAGGGACACCAGGAAAACCGAGGAAACTTACTGGACTTATACTTCCACTAGTGGTACAAGAATTATTTGCTTAATCTCATTCTTATCTGTAGCAGTTATCATTAAATATTTTGTTTGTTAGTGTGTTTGTTTAGAGATGGGGTCTCACTCTGTCACCCAGGATGGAATGCAGCGGCATGATCATAGCTCACTGCAGGCTTGAACTCCTGGACTCAAGTGATCCTCCTGCTTCAGCCTCCGTAGTAGCTGGGACTACAGGCATGCACCACTTATTCCTGCTATTTTTAAAATATGCATTTTTTTTTGTAGAGATGGGGGACTCCCTATGTTACCCAGGCTCCTCTCAAATTCCTGGCCTCAAACGATCATCCTGCCTTGGCCCCCAAAGTGCTGGGATTGCAGACATAAGCCTTCTCACCTGGTCAACATTTATCTTTTATATTTATGAATATAAAAGATGAACAAACTTCCATAATTATCAACTAATGTCCAATCTTGTTTCATTTACCGCTATCCAGTTTCCTTTTTCTGAATTATTTTGGAGCAAAATCCAGAGAACATATCACTTTATGTGTAACTATTTCAGAGTGTGTCTCTAAAATCATTATCTCACCTAAAAATTTAACAGATGTGGGCGCTCAAGGTGGGAGGATCACTTGAGCCCAGGAGTTTGAGACTAGCTTTAACAACATAGCAAGAGCCCATCTCCCCCCTGCCATCCTCGCCAAAAAAAAAAAAAATATATATATATATATATACACACATGCATATATAAACTAAATATATATATAAATTAGCCAGGTGTGGTGGCATGCACCTGTAGTCCCAGCTACTCAGGAAGCTGAGAAGAGAGGATCACTTGAGACCAGGAATCAAGGCTTAAGTGAATTATGTTCATGCCACTGGACTCCAGCCTGGGCAACAAAGTGAGATCCTGTCTCTAACACACACACACACACACACACACACACACACACACACACACACACACATTAGTTGCTTTAACTTTGAGAGACCAAGCTGGGAGGTTTGCTTGTGACTAAGAACTCAAGACCACTTGAGCAACATGGTGACACCTCACCTGTAAAAAAAAAATATTAGCTATGTTGTGGTGGCACACACATGTAGTCCTAGCTACTTGGGAGGCTGAGACGGGAGGATCACTTGAGCCCAGAAGTTCGAGACTGTAGTGATCACTGCACTCCAGCCTAGGTGACAGAGTAAAACTCCACCTCAAAAATGAAAACAATAGTTCCTTTATACCACCTAACATTCCCACATTTTAATTGCTGTACTAATGTCTTTTAAAAAACAGTCTGTTCACAGTTGTTGATATCACCAATGTGCTTTAGTTTGAATCATCTCTAAAGAGAGTATCTCTGGAAATCACACACTGTATACCTTTTTCTCTTTCCACGTGGAAGATTCATCAAGTTGAGAACATTCTGATTGACAAGCAAGGATTAATGTGGAAGCATTAAAAAATGTTTACTTTGATTAAGTCAGTTGTAAAAATGGCAAGCTAGAGAAATAAACACTGGAAGTAAATTCCTAAAAACAGATGTAAAATCAGTAGATTTACCACAAAAAAAGAAATCACCAGAAATATGTGCAAGCGAGTCTAGGAAACAATATTCCACTTTCTGAATACTGAAAAAAAATAGAAAAGAAAAGCAATGTGTGAATATTCTCAAGGTGAAACAGATTCCTTCTTGGAGCACAAAGCAAACAGTCTTGACTTAATAGGTGGAAAAACTGATCATGGCTGCAGCACGCCTGTATTAGATGAAGTTCAGAAGAAAAGAAAAAACATGGTGTAATGACAATAACTTTTGCTACCAATCATCTGGAAATGAAACTTTAAAACCAGAGTTTTAGTTAGGGAGAAACAATCTTTATCCAGATATGAGTAATTCTAGGGTTCTGTTTTCTATTTTCAATCTATACTGTGTCTCAGACATTTCTCCTTCAGAATTGCCTTACTTATAACTATATTTTGTATTTCATTGTAGGTATATATTATGTGTGTTTACTGAGGATATGAATGAACACTTTTTCTGTAAGTTCCTTAACAT